AAAAAAACTTTTTCAATGCAGATCAAATCTCGAAGAAAAAAACGAAATCTTCGAAGATTGGAAAATGAACGAAAAATAAAAAAGTCTATCCCCCTCGAGGTAGACTCAAGTGGAAGAAGCGGCTACAACGTGTTGCCTTCCTCGATGGTCAACGCTGCCTACTCGGGCAACCAAAACTCCATCAGTAAGCATTTGGCATTTGTGGGTGGTTTAGTGTGATTCTAATTTGTCCCCCTCTTCTTAGCCATTCCCGGCGGCATTCTCAAGTTTCCCTTCTTCAGCGCTGAGCGGCCATTCAGCATCAACTTTGGCTTTATCGGAGTGGTGATTGGCCACGAGTTCACGCACGGTCTTGATGATAAGGGAAGCAAGTTCGATCAGTTCGGCAATCTTCGCAACTGGTTCGGAAAGGAAGGGTTGAAGCAGTTGCGAAGATTGAGCCGGCATCGGCCACCCACTGGTCGAGCCACCGCTGTGCACATAGCGGCAGTTCACATTGAGAAAAATAATCGCCTGGCTGAGTTTTTTGTTGACTTCATCTGAACGCCAGAACTTGAGCACTTCTCAACCAGTTTTCCCAACCACAACACCTCCCGAAGTAATCCCGGTCCGAAGATGATCGTCACACGCGCCCTCAGCCTGGTGCCCCGAAGCGTGAACCGCCAGACGGTGGCCAAGATGTCCGACGTCAACTACAAGGGAGCCGTAAGTGGTGATGCCGCATTTGTTTTGTGATTACGATCAGTTCACTTTGCTAACACCGTGTTGTTCTGCTTCCACCCTCTTTAGAACGTGCCCTTCGACATTGTGAACCGCAAGTCGCTGGCGGTGAAGATGATCCTCTTTCTGTCGATCCCCTTCTCGCTGCCGTACCTCGTCTGGCGACGACGCCTGGCCCGCATGAAGGGCATCTAAAAGGTCATTCGTCCGCATTCTGGATCTTTCGCCTGCCACGCCGACTAGCGACACCTCGCCGGGCGTAGACGTAGGCTCTCTTCTAAGTCGATCCGAACCACACCGTGTAAGATAGATCCAAACAAAATGAAGTACTTTACCACGCTTACTTGATACAATAAAGAAATTATTAGAAATCTGAAAGATGTGTGTTTTTGTTTACGTTTTGATGGAAAGTTTCAATTTGAAACCTTCTAAGCATTTGTCTTTGTACACTTGCGTTACTTTATTCGTGGTAAAAACAAATGTTTTACTGCAAAAATCATTTGAGGATGTTTTGATCATCAGTTTTCGGTGGACCCGGATCACGCCTGAAAAGACCGCCGTNTCTTTGTGTCGCTGATGCAACTCTCTCTCTCTCCCCACGAGGTGCAAAGGTCCTGAACTGATCATCACCACTAAGTTATCACCAGAATGTCTTCCACGAAGCCACCATCCCCGGCTCATCAGCCCTCGACCTCATCAGCCACCAGCAGCCAGCAACCGTCGCTGACCACCGAGCAGTTGGCCCTCGCCGAACGGAATCGTCAACGCTCACTTCTGCAACAGCAGAAGAAGCAGACCAGCCTGACCACCAATGAGGCCTACCAGCTGGAGAAGTACGAGGAGCTGAAGGTGGGTGCCAACCAGGACACAGGGGGCGGCTTCTTCACCGCCTCCTCCTCCTCCGACACCGACCCCTTTCAGCAGATCAAATCGGCGGCCTCGAAGAAGGCACTTCCACTGCTGGCGGACACGCGGGAGAACGAATGTGAGGAGTGCTCCGACGGCTTCAGCAACTCCTTCCTCCTCTCCAACTTTGGCGAGAAGGTCTGCGACCAGTGCAAGGAGATGAAGGGCCGCCACTCGCTGATCACCCGGACCGAGGCGAAGACGGAGTACCTGCTGACGGACGTCGACCTGGACCGGCGGGAGCCGCCGCTTCGCTGTCTGCTGAAGAAGAACCCCCGCGAGTACGCCCGCAGCTACATGAAGCTCTACCTCCGATTGCAGGTGGAGGAACGGGCGCTGGAGGTGTGGGGCAGCGAGGAGCAGCTGGAGGAGGAGCGGGCGCGACGTGACGCCCAGCGGGAGGGTCGCAAGCGGAAGACCTTCGAGAAGGCGATCAAGGACCTGCGCATGCAGGCGCGCAGCTCCATCTTCAACAAGCGCCTCACCGCCAGCCATGAGCACACCTTCGGCGAGGAGGAGCCGGTGGACAGTCCCGAGGACGACCCCGAGGGCGAGTACTTCCGCCAGACGTGCACCAGCTGTGGCTTTGAGAAGACCTACGAGAAGATGTGAAGAAGTTCTGCTCAAGCTTTGTTGTAAATAGAAGCTCCATTTTTTTCCTTTGCATTCGTTGATTTTACTGCTAAGAAATTCTGCTGCCACATCAGTCCACTTGTCAATTTACCAGTTCAGTATTCTTTCTATGTAAAAGTGTGTAACTCATCAACCTTTACTCTTTCTCAACTCTACACCGGCCCTTCTAGAGAGGCTCTGAATAAAAATGTAAATAATAACTAAATCACTAGTGAAGTGTAATAATTGGCGGCCAAACGACGAAGGAAGGACGAGTGAGTCGAGTTGAGTGTGTGGCGCGTTGTTGAGAGTGTCTTGTGTGTTTGTTGCACCGAATGATTGCATGTTCTGAAGTTGACATTGCAGCGTCCACCTAATCCATTCCTAAGAACTCCGCCACTCAGTTCAATTTTCATATATTAAAATACTAATAATGTCCTTAGAAGTTGGAGAGAATTTCGTAAATCTTTGAGAGCAGGTCGTCGGCAAAGTGCTCGCCGCTAGGAATCAGCCCCAGAGCAATGCCCAGCTTCATCGCCAGGTTGTTGCTCTTCTTCGGCTCGGCCTTATTTGTGTCGGGGATCACCTTGTCGCAGACGTGCTTGTAGATGAGACCGTCGCCGCCGACGTGGAAGATGGAGAAGCCGTCAATCCACCTGAAAGTAGAAAAAAGGTTTAGAAAAGGATTTTTGTGACTTGACAAAGCTCTTTTCTTACTCGTCTTTATGTGCATCCAGTGACTCCTTGGTGTTCCACATCTTGAACTGCCAGAAGGCAAAAACGATGCTGTTGCCGGGGAACGTCTCAATTCGCCATCTAATGCGGACGGTGCCGTCCTCGGTGTGCTTGGTAATCTTCAGTGCACTCATCGACACTTTGCCGTACTTGAAGTGGGCGCCCATCTTCACCCAGGCTAGCTGCCAGGCGTAGCCGTTCAAGCCGACGGTGCGAACATTGCGAATATTGTCCTCAAAGACGACGTTCTTGTGGTATAGACGAAAGTCGTGAGGAAGTCTGAAAAAGGTGGGAATCTGAAATGGAAGACGAGGGTTAGTACTTTTAGAGGAAAGTCCAGCAAATGACATACTTGAGCGCCCATTCTGTCGGCAATTGACTGCAGTTGCTCCTCGGTAGGCCTCGAGGAGTCATCCGACGAGCTGTCACTCTCACCATCTCTTGATTTTGCGAGTAAGGTAGCCTGTTCTAAACAGCTGTGGCCGTCAGTGTTGATGTTGTTGTTGATCACAGAAGAATCTTGCAGCTTTGCGCTGATTTTGTTGTTGTCGATGTTCTGGCTGGAGATGGGCCTCGCGAGGACTCGCATGTGACCGCCATTACCATATGTTGTCGTGTTCTGGTGGTGGTAGTGGTTGGTGTTGATATTTGAGTAGGATCTGCCTGATGGAGCAATGATGGGACCAGAGGAGGAGGCGGTTGCAAGCAGATTGCAGCTCTGCCGATTGAAGGCACAAAGCGCAAAAGGTCGCATGGCAGAAAGCTTGATGGAGAGTGCCATCGCTGAAGATCACTTTCCAATTCACAAGACGATGGTTGCGGTGGTGGTGGGTGTGACAGGTCGAGTCCGTTACCGGTAAAATAGAAATCACAAAGATGGAAAACAGAATGTAACACACACCAAAATAACGGACAGCTGACCCGCTTCGAGAAATGTGTTCTGTCTGCTGATTCACAAACGACGTGAATCGGCTTGAGACTGCGAAAAATCCCTGCAGAGAATCTTTTGGTCTCTCGGGTCTTCAGGATCGCCCTGCCTCTTCTTCTGCCGATTCTTTGACTTTCAAAGTGCCTTCTCCGGTCCCAGTAAGTCCCCCTCTCTCAAGATTCAGAAAATCTTACTTCACTTTCTCCTCTTGCAGCAAAGTGTGAATTTGTTTTGCACAACGCGTGTTCAGAAAGCTGGCATTTTACTGTCCGGCAGTACGTCCTATTCGAAGAGGCAAGGGCATCGTGTTTTGATTCTCGACGCCGAGAAACCAGGCATCTCCACCACAACAATCGCCGATTTGCAGTCGCGATTCTCTGATTCTTTGGGAGTTAGGTAAATCTCGAAGCCTCCTCTTCAGTCCACGACCATGATCGGCCCAAGCAGCCTTCGTCTGCGAATGCTCTGCCAGCGACTGGCCATTAATAGCCGCTCGCTGAGCACAAACAGCAGCAGCAGCATAAGCAGAAGCAGCCTTCTTCGTCACTACCAGCAACTGAAACCGAACCACCTTCTGGCGCTTCAGCTGACCAGTCTCAATGGGCGGATGAACGCCATGAATGTTCGGTGCATCAACACGACGAAGAAGAACAAGGATCACCACACCATTGACATCTACGATCCAGACTATGTGGACACGAAAAAACCCGAAGGACCGAAGACGGCCAAGGAGTTTGCCGACGTTAAATCGCAAAAGGTGTGTTTGTTTGTGTTTCGCGTGTTGATGTGAACTAACCAAACATTTGTTGCCCTTTTTAAGAACTGGATTTCCTATGGCTTCGACTTCATTGACCCCGCAAATGACCGTTCGCTGATGAACTTTACCTTCTTCACCATGATCACCATGGGCTTTGTCGTGTTCACCTACATCATTTACTACTTTCCCGATTTTGTGTAAGTGTGATGCTCTTCATTATTTAAAAAGCCTAACTATTTTTACAAATCCTTTAGCCTTCACGACTGGGCCATCAGGGAAGGCTTCCTGGAGCTGGACCGGCGTGAACGCCTCGGTCTGCCGCTCATTGACCGGAACCTGGTCGACCCAGCCACACTAGACCTGCCCACCGACGAGGAGCTCGGCGACTACAAGGTCTACACGTAAAAACCAACCTGCTTTTTCAATTCAGTGAACCTAGTGAGAACCTCAAGCACATACATACGCAAACACACACTTTCTCTCTTGTAGGCTCAGAAATCCTCCTTCTCTTCTGTACATTTAAAAGTTACGCCAACACTCCCATTTATTGGTTATAAAGGCCGGTGAGATGATGATGATGATCGTTCTCAGTTTCCAGCAAGTAAAGAATCATCTTCGGGCGCCTTCAGCACTTGCCTCCTCAGCGTCTCCAAGTAGGGAAAGTGGCGCCTGATCATCCCCAGACAACAACGACCTTCCTCAGCAAAAGACCACTTCAGTCGATTATCATCAGTTAGAACTTCCAGCACCTCCGCCAGGCTGACCACTCGGCCGTGAAAGTCGGGCAGCTTCCAAATGCTGAGGCCCATCAGCGTCTGAAGGAGAAGGTGGCCTTTGCTCTCCAGTAAATCACTCAACCGTTGACAGCTCTTCACCAGCCGATCACCCTCTTCACCCTCCAGAGCTGACTGCAACAACGGAAGGTGGCGGTGGGCGGTGGCCGCCAGGTAGGCGCCAATGCGAATCGCCATCGAGTACGGCTCTGCAAAGACGTTCTTCTGCTCGCGCTCAAAGAGGACAATGACCTCCTCTTCCTTTTCATCCCCAGTCAGTAGAACTTCATTTCGCTCCATCATCGCCGTCAGCTCCGCCGTGTCCTCTCTCGCCAGGCGGCTCGAGGTTAACAGGCGCCGGAGGAGGGCGGCAAAGAGCGGCGCCTCAGCTTCCGCTGAAATCGGATGTCGAGAGTGGGCGTGAAGGTGATGGCTGATCAGCGAGAAGAGGCAGTCCAGCGAGGCGGTCTGGCTAAGAACTGGACGACTGCGGTAGAGGGGAAAGGCGGCGAGAAGGTCGAGCCGGTGGACCAGCAGCCCCACCGCCGCCTGGCCCACCCCGCGAACGGCTCGGTCTTCGTCCTCGAGGAGGACGAGGAGAATGTCCACGAGGAGGGCCAGGTTGGCCCCACCGGTCAGCAGCAGCTCCTGCTGAGCTTCTTCAGGCTTCTCTTCAGGCACTCTGAGCGCCGCCCTCAGCTGCTCGGCGGCCTTCAGGCGAATGTCGTCCGACTGCTTAAAGTTGACCCGCTCGCGGATGGACTGCAGCAGCTGGCTGGTCAGTTGATTGCTGGAGGTGGAGTTCTCCTTAGCCTCATCATCTTCCTCACTTTCCTCCTCCTCCTCCTCCTCCTCCTCTGGCAGCACATCACTGCTGAGCACCTCACTGC